TATTATTTGATATTGCTTCCGCTTAGTGAACTGATTAATGTTATTATTGCATTTATAATTATTGGGGATTGGAATTCAGGATTGATGATTGATGAATGAGGATTGAGTTTATTGTTGAATATTGATGTATGCTTTTGAAAATGAGTAACGCCACAAGTGATTTTTAAATAAGTTTTGAAAACTTTTATTCTGATTTTCGACAAATAAAAACTGGGGCGTTACAATTTCCATCTTTTGGAAGTGGGCGTAGCGGTATGGATGCACATGGACTGCTCGACCCTCCTCGACCAGTGGTATACGGTGGTCGAACTCCCTATGCGGTGGTAGCTCCTTTGGTTCGCGGAGGACCTGGTCGAACACCTCGAGCAGGTCGCGTACCTCCTGCTGCCGCTGCTTGACTGGGCCCGTGTCCACGCTCGTCTGCTCGAGCACTACGACAAACAACTGCCCGCCGCCTCGCCATACCTTCTCGATACTCTTGAGACCAACCTCCCTTATCCCAATGACATCGCTCGCCTTGAGGGTGACATGTCGATCACCAGACTCAAATCTCATAACCCACGTTCGATAGTCAGTCGTCACCTCGCCTAGACCCTCGAGCCACTGCACGCCCAATACCAAGTCCGGTCCGACTAGTGGTAAGGCATATAAGTCCTCCTTGACCGTCACGCCTTGAAATTTGATTGGCACCCCATGATAGGCCTCTGAGCACCGCAGTCGCTCGCCATTAGCTACCAGCACATGAATGGCTCGGCCATAGTTGTTGGCAGCTTGAGCTTATGCGAGAGTGTCGCATTGATAAAGTTGTACAACGAGCCGTTGTCGATGAGCATGGTCACACGTTGATTCTTGACCCATGCCATAAACGCATCGTCCTAGGGCCTTTGGTCCTCGCCATAGCGTGCACGGAGATCTCGGCCTCCTAATTGAACGTTGTGACCTCTTCTTCCTTCACCGCGTCATCTTCGAACGTCATCTCCTCATCGTCCGAGTCCACAAAGTCAATCAAGAACGCTTACTTGCACCTGTGGTGATGGGTCTGCTCTCAGGTCTGGAGCGACCGGTGGAAATGAACCCAGATCTGCCTAAATTGCCTTCGAACCGTTGCTGGACCGCGAGAATACCTACAAAAACTCAACGTCGGAGGTGTTTCCGGCGTAGAGCCTCTGACGCTCAAGTCAGTATGTGAGAGAAATGAAGAGAGGCTGCTCTGAGAGAGCAACAGCAGCAAAAGAGGAGAATATGGAATGAAAGTGGGAGTTAGGGTTCAGGGCTACCTCTTCTCCTTTATATAGGTGGGAAAACTTACTTGAGATACCCAAAATGCCCCAATCGGTGGACCTGGAAGGTCCAAATTGCCCCGGTCGATTTGTCTCCCCTCCTTGCTGAGTCATACCAAGATTCCTTCTTATCCTTGAGAGGACAAGATGTTCCAAAGGATATATCAAGTGTGGGGAGTCGTCAGCATGCCTTATGTCTCGAGATGTGCAGAGTCGACATTGGGTAAGAATGATTTGTCCTGGGATCTGGCTTAGTGACTACAGCTTTGCTACTCAGATGAATGTCGACTATCATGGAGTCGAATGAATAGGGTCGACTTCTAGATGTCGACTTGTATGAAGTCCGTCTTGTCACCTCGTTGAAGAGTCGACTTTGAAGAGCTCGACTCGAGAATATCGATGAGCGCA